GGAAAAGAAATTGAAAGTTTGTGTCTTCGAAATATAAATATTAGATTTAAAAACGGTAGATACAAACAAGAACTCTTGTATTTAAAACAGTAAATGATTAACTTTGTACAAGATCAATGTTTACAATATTGTCTGAAAAAAAAACTGTGAAGATTAGTGAATAATAAAATATGCATTTAACTCTTATCGACAGCAACTCACTACAAATTTTACTCTCTATTTTTTTTTCTTCTATCAATCGTGTCTATTCAGCAAATGGCCATGGTTCCGAATACGTTTGCCTGCAAAACGGAGATTTAAAACATTAAACAAGTTGAACCGTCAGATTGAAATATAAGAAATACAATTTATTCAAAATATATAAATCGATAAACGTATGTGTGGAAGAGTAATGAGGGATCTTACTCTATGATCTCTTTCCAATAAGAATCACTTGTTTCATCATCAATAGTCTCACACCATGGCTGATGATGATCTTGTGTGAACGCCGAGTTTGATGATGAAGGGTTTGAAGTATCATCATGATTATAAGTTGTGATGTCTTTGTTCTTGATCATCATTTGGGCTTGTTTAGATTCTTGGGAAGAAGCAGGAACCAATAGAGGGAGTGAGTTATGATCATCTTGAACATCGATTTGTATCGGGGAAGAAAAAGACTCCAAAGGGTCTCTTACCATCAAATGCTCATCATGATCGTTTTCAAGAATTTGAGAGAGGTTTTGAGATTGACCAAAAAGATTTTGGTTCTCTAAGTAAGAAGATTGGCCAAAGAGATTATTATTCGTTTGCATGGTTGATGAACAAGAAGAGGGATTGTTGTTGTTATTGGTGCTAAGAACTTGAATCATATTGTGTAACAATTGGGCTTTGGCAAGAGTTGTTGCATCCAATTGCACATTTTGATTGAGATTCAAGAGGCTGTTGAAATTTGCGGCGGCCATAAGCTGTGGGAGGGCGGCTAGAACATTTAGATGGTCGGTTCTCGGCCTATGGGTCACCGGATCAATCCCCATTTGGAGAAGTTTCTTTCTCAAATGTGTGTTCCAATAGTTTTTAATTTCATTATCCGTTCTTCCAGGAAGATTGCCCGCTATTGACGACCACCTTTCAAAAACATATACAAAATTAAAAACTCATTCATAAATCGATATAACTCTCCTAGTGGACTAATTAGTTTAGGATAAATACCTAATGTTGATTTACTTTAATTTAGTCATAACAAGTTGATTAATTTTAAAGATTGAAAAACGGCTACATACGTATGCACCAAGAGAAAAAAACAGTGTAGTAGGTGTCTCAAT